CAACCAAACAGAAGAATCACATTCACAGTAATACTAACAAAATGCTATTTGTTTCACAGGATAATCCTACAAAAACAGCTTCAACACTACGAGGCAATTTCTACATTACTGGGGACAGGGGCTATATGGATGAAGATGGCTATTTCTGGTTTGTTGCAAGATCAGATGATATCATATTATCCTCTGGGTAATTTTTCATCTGTATAATGTCTATATTAATTGATCATTGGTGTTCTGGAATGGACGTGCTGTTCACCTTTCTGAATTCCTGTCATATGTTTTATTTCCCAGTTACAGAATTGGACCATTTGAGGTAGAAAGTGCCCTGATTGAGCATCCTGCAGTTGTAGAGGCAGCTGTTGTCAGCAGCCCAGACCCCATCAGGGGAGAGGTAAAAAAAAAAAAAAAAAAAGGATTCAACTCCACTTTATAATTTGTTGGCAGTCTAACATATACTTTCCAACAGTTCATTGAAACAGAATTACCCAAATGATTCATTCACTAACTGCAAGTCAGATAGTCATTAGTAAACATGCTAGTCAGAAAGAACTGCTAAGAATAAGACCGAAAATATATATAAGCAATTTGATTCCTTTCCATAGAGGGATGGTGTGAATGCCAACAACCCAGGGTCACAGCAAGGTAGGATGGCAGATATCAGCTAGATAGGATTCAGTTATTACCCAGGTCTGGAAACCAACATGGTCTCTAGTGCAGCTCAGGAGGATAGGCCAGCATCAGATATCAGGGGTGGAAGGAAGGTCAGAGATAGCAACTGAGGCCACCGGAAGTAGGCTGGGTACGTAGGCAAGTGGAAAGTGGAAGATTCAGGAAATAAGCTGTGAATAAGACAGTCCTAAGAACTCATTCCCACCCCCCTGCTTTTTTTTAAAGTAAGCTCTATGCCCAACAAGGGGCTTGAACTCATGACCCCGAGATCAAGAGTCACATGCACCCTTGAAAGCTCATTCTTATTGGGGCTGATCAGAGGGTAGTTTGGGTTTAAAGGTTCCATGCTACTCTTCAGGTCCCCTTTGCCAAGCAGGGCCTCCAATATTCCAGATAGATGAGAGCAGGGAACTGGTTCTGTGATTACTGAAGTTTATCCTTTCACTCTGAACTCTACCGGCAGGATCACAATGTTCCTTGGAATTTGAAGGCCATAGGGCATTATTGGACTTGTGCAATGATGGAAATGTTCTATATCTGTACCATTTGATACAATACACACGGCTATAAAGCACTTGAGAATGTGGCTGGTGTGACTGAGAAAATGTTTATTTCATTTTAAATTTAATTAGTTACATGTGGCTAGTGGCTACCAAATGGTACAACTATAGACATAAAAATGCAAAATTTTGCAGAGAATTTTAGAGAAACTTTGAAGCTGACTTAAGGATTTTAGTTAAAAAAAAAATCCTGTTTTTCTAATACTACTACCACTAATACCTAATATTTCTAAGGACTTCTTCTGATGTTCCAGGTACTATGGTACTATAAGCCCTCTAAGGGCCTGTATATGTTAACCTATTTAATCTTCACAACCTCTCTTTTTGGAGAAGGAAACAGGCACAGAGAGGTATCCTAACATTCCCAAGATTACACAATAAAGTGTGATTTGAACCCAGGCCGTCTGACTTTAGAGTTCATAATCTTAATCATGTTAGGGTGCTCCATATTAATTTACGATCTTCTGCAATGGTTTATAAAGATTTTTATAGGGGCACCTGGGTGGCTCAAACAGTTGAGCATCTAATTCTTGATTTCAAGTCAGGTCATGATCTCAAGCTCTGAGTCAGGCTCTGCACTCAGCATGGAGGTCTGCTAGAGATTCTCTCCCTCTGCCCTTCCTCCAACTCCTGCGTGCACGTGTGTGCTCTCTCTCTCTAAAATAAATAAATAAATCTTAAAAAAAAAAAACTTTTATAGAGTAGACCTTATCCAAGGTACAGAAGTCATCAATATGCAAACCAGTAATTATAAACATTAGTTCTTAAAATAAGCTGCCCCTGAATGATTCACTTATAGCAAGGTTAAATTTTTTTAATTCATAAAAATGTTGATAAAGCAGAAGAGCCAGTATAAACACAAAAATTTTATGAAATATCAAAAAATGGATATGATAAAATGGATAGATAGTCCAAAAACTCTGGGCAGGGCAGGATTTTCCAAAACATTTCAAGGAAGAGTAAACATTGAAAACAGGATTTGTGAGCGTAAAGTGATAAAGTCTTCCCTGTCTTCTGACAATTAGAGAGCAAGGACCACCACCACTTTCTAATCTTGTTCCTCAGGGGCAGGTAAATTGGTCAGAGTAATAGCAAAATGGCTGTTGGAATCTTCACAGCCTTATATCGACATAAGTATCTCTGGAATGAAGAGTGCACAGCCTCAGTGAACTGTTCCCTTCAATAAGGACATAGCAAACTAGGTGTGAATACTCTTTATAAGGGCCACACTGAGGGTGGGGACCTAGAAACTAGGCTAGATCAGGCTAAGATGTTACCCAAGAGGCTGTGCTTAGTGCATTGTCGAGTTTCTAAAAGGTTTTTTTTCCTAAAAGGAAATTTTCTTGAAGGAGATAAAAGATGAGGCAAGAAGTCAAGAGCAAAGACAGCTCAGAAACACAAGCAGGTCAGAAAGCAGAGTTCAAGATGTAGTTAGATGAGAAAGTTCCAGTTCATTAAGATCATTAACAAAGCAGGGCTCCCAGAAACTCTCTTGTATTAGAAGAGGAGTTATGGGACTCAACTGGCTGAGTTAGAGCACAGACTTGGGATCAAACCCTATGAAGCCTTCTGGCCCACCCCAGCAGGCATTAGATTCCCAGTTAGAAAAAGTAAGCAAGACACGCTAAAACATAAAAACATACAACTCGGGCACCTGGGTGGCTCAGTCGTTAAGTGTCTGCCTTCAGCTCAGGTCATGATCCCAGGGTCCTGGGATCGAGTCCTGCATCGGGCTCCCTGCTCAATGGGAAGCCTGCTTCTCCCTCTCCCACTCCCCTGCTTGTGTTCCCTCTCTCGCTGTCTCTCTCTCTCTGTTGAAAAATAAATAAAATCTAAAAAAAAAACAAAAAAACAAAAAACATACAACTCATCTTCCTGGTGTTTCAAATATTTTTTTCAGGTGGTAAAGGCTTTTATTGTTCTGACCCCTGAATACAAGTCACATGATCAAGAACAACTAAAAAAGGAGATTCAAGAGCATGTAAAAAACACTACAGCACCTTACAAATATCCCAGAAAGGTAGGTATTCTAATTATGATGACGATTTGCTTAGTGTTCTGACAAATTTCAGCTGTTTATTTATTTTTTTATTTTAATGAACATTCGCCTCAAACATGCTACACCAAATATTCCAAACTGAACTAATGACATGGATAAGAATCAGAATCTTTGAGATTAAAATGAAACTCTTGACATTATTTGCAGGGTCATTTGGCTTACTGGACTAGTAGTAAATACTAAATATCAAGCAACATCTCCTCAACAATACCCTTCTCCCTTTTTGGTTGTTACCAAAACCCACCCAGATGGGTATCCTAATTCTTTCACCTACAGATAGTAAAACTGCTATATAACTGACTATGTATAAAGATGAAAACTTCTGGGCTAATTTTTTCCCTTACTACCAACAGGTGGAATTTGTTCAAGAGCTGCCAAAGACTATCAGTGGGAAGATAAAAAGAAATGAACTGAGGAAGAAAGAATGGGAAACAATTTAAATCCATTCTATTATTTATCACAGTATCTATAAAACAAAGACTCTGTCCAAACCACAAGAGTATAGGGAGGTGATTAAAAATGTGATAATATACTTAAAAATTGTTGATTTAAAATATCTTGTGGTTGGAGCACCTGGCTGGCTCAGTCAGTAGAGCATGCAACTCTTGATCTCAGGGTTCTAAGTTTGAGCCCCACATAGGGTGCAGAGATTACTTAAAAAAATAAAATCTTTTAAAAAAGCGAAATAAAATATTTTGTGGGTATAACATCAGAGGCTGAATTCTGAAATAAAATATTTAGTAAATTCCTCTGCATTAGTGTCAATGTTATTATGATTTTGGTAATATAAAAAGAATGCCATCAAGTGCTGAGAAATTTTTAAACATATAGTATCTGAACCAAATTTCTCATCTGTTGGTTTTCAAATTCTAGTTGAATAATTCTTCTGATATGTTGATATACAAATCAGAACAAATCTTCAAGTTTTGAAATAAAACTAAACAACTTATTATAAAAGTTTTTAGAAAAATAAAAATCTCAGTTAGAAGATATCATAATTCTCAAAGTCTAAATATCTACCTGAAAACAGGCTAGGGATTTTTATGAGTCACATTTTTATTCAAGTAATTTAAAAATAGTTTAAACTCATTTCAAGGTCTAACTAAAAGAAGAACATCATACTATGGTTGCTCGTATCTAATCAAATGCAGTACACAAAATTAATTTGTGGCTCTTCAAAAGAGTATGATAAATTTGGCAAGTGTTAAGATACAACATAAAAATAAAACAGTGTAGGGGCGCCTGGGTGGCTCAGTTGGTTAAGCGACTGCCTTCGGCTCAGGTCATGATCCTGGAGTCCCGGGATCGAGTCCCGCATCGGGCTCCCTGCTCAGCGGGGAGTCTGCTTCTCCCTCTGACCCTCTTCCCTCTCGTGCTTTCTATCTCTCTCTCTCAAATAAAGAAATAAAATCTTTAAAAAAAATAAATAAATAAAACAGTGTACAACTATCATCAGAATACTCATGATGTTTGGAAATTCAAGGAACAATCAGGATTCATACATGAATAGAAGACAAATGTTAGATAACCGATAAATGAAATTAGAAGACTGTGAAATTGACTTTTTCTCTATTTTCAGTGTGTTTAATAGCCCCAATACAGTCTACAGGACTCAGATATGCTAAGTCTCCGTAACTTGTAGCCTTTTTTCTCTTTATCACACAAAAAGTCGTATTAAAGTAAAAACATAGTTTAGATGTAGAGAAAGTTTATCAACTCCTCATTGAACGTCTGAGTCTCAATGAATTTTTAATAGAAAAATTTACATTTCTGTCACAAATATGGCTTATTTCTGGGGAACTAAAAGTGACTCCCCCTGGGGAATGAGACAGAATTCTGCTGTTGGCTCTCTCCTTTTGAAGTGTTTGTTCCCATTTGAAATAACCACAACATTTTCTGTTTTCTCGGTATTTTCCAACTGGGCAACAATAGAAGACTTTTCCATGGTTTGGTCCATTATTAGAAACAACAAGTCTCTTAGATCTTCGGCCACACTTGCATAAAGGAGGTGTCATTTTCCCACTCTTCCAAGGCTCTTGTAGGTTAACTGTAGAAGCTAAGACAGAGGGGAGGACCTTCTGGGAACAACTTCTCACTGGGGAGCCATCAGATGATGTAGGCTTTTCTTCACCAACAGTGAGGGTCTGTTTTTTTGCTGGTGGGACAGATAGAGGACTGGCCAGATTCCTTTTAGTACCACCTAAAATGAGGGGGTATTTCCCCAAAACTGAAGGATGAGACATAGTGGCATTAACACTGTTGAAGCTACTTGATTTGCATTCAGGTAATTTAAAGTCAGAAACATCTGCATCTGGATCTTTGGCTTCTTTCACATGATAAATAGTAGTATGTGGACTCTTATATACAACAGACTTAGAGGTCCCAGATTTTTGAGGAGTTTCTTCTGTGCCTTCTTTCAAAACCATTAATCTTTCTATAGAATTAAATGAAGTATCTAAGTTTGAGTCACTAATGGAAGGTATACAATCTATACTTTGCTCAGGCTGAGATGCTGGCAGTAAAGCTACATCCTCCCAATCAGCCAACATAGGTAAACAATCAAGAGCAGAACTCATTTCCGTATCAGAAACATGATTAACAGATGAAATGGTAGTTGATACAAGTACCAATTCTGAACCAATTACTGAAGACTTAGATTTGGTATTAAATGCAAGGTGTTTGTTTCTTATGTGCTTCTGCATAGGTGTATTCAAGCTGGCAGATGGCAACTGCTCCAGAGAAGTAGAGGACTTTGTATTAAAAAGAGATGAATAGCTTTTGCCATTATGAAGACCTGCTTTTATATTGCTCTTTAGTTGGAGCTGATCCTGTTGTACCTTTATAGGAGAATTCACACCACCTGGCCTCATGTGAACTTTTTCAAGAGAATTTACTGTATTTTCAGGCTCCCTATCATATATACTCAGACCCTGAATGCTACTGTTGCAGGCGGATCTTTCTTCAACTTGATTCGTATTCAAATTTCTGGCGAAAACGCTGGAATTCTTCTTAGTGGGGACCTATGATTCCACAGACAAATCCAATAGCTTTAGAAACTATGCATTTGTAATCTCTTTAGTACACATTAATGTCATCATTCACTGATTTATCAATGATTTCCACACATGATATTTGTATTTCAATGAACGTATTACTTCTGGAGTTTGAGATGACAGAATAAAGAGGCAAGACACCACTAACCTTGTTCAAGGACCTTGTAATTTTCATTAAGCAACCATCCCTGATCATTTTCCAAGCAAGTAGGGCAGTATTCCGAGAATCATCCAACCCTGAGGAAATAGATATCAAACACTGAATTTAGTAATACCATTGTAAAGAAATATAGCAAAAATAAGAAATCACAATTAATATTGGAACATACTACTAGTTTTATGATCACCTACTCATTTTAATCATGATAAATTGGACTAGCAAATGCTGTGAAAACCTTACCAACAAAAGACAAGATCTCCCACATTTACAGAGGAGATAAAAATTTGTACAGTTCACAAAAATGTAAGCAACATTCTTTAGGGACCATACTTTGTGAGTAATCTAATGGTCTTGTTCAGTTTTTTCACTAATTCACTGTGTTGTCTGGGCATTTGTTTAATCTCCATTTGATTTTAGCTAATTTTCATTCTTTTTAGCAACTAGAAAGCCACTAGATGGCAGTCTTTATCTTACACTACTTTATGGTAGTATAATTTGAAAGTCCGAAATCTTTGAATTGTATAGATTAGGTACTTTTTTTAGCCTAAAAGGATATTCCTTATTAATGACATCACCAAAAACATGAGATTCATATGAAAGACTTTCTAGAAATAAGATGACTTACATAATAAAATTATTTTCAATTTATACTAACCAGAATGTTCTCGTCCTAAGAATTCTATTCCCACTTCCTGCAGGGCACCACTTAGTCCTTTTGGTTTTCTTCTATAGAAAATCTAACCAAATAAAAGAAACATCCAAAAAAAGTTACTATTAGGAAGGCTATGTATTAACCACTTACTTTTCATAATTTTTATTTCTATTAGATTTGGAATGTCCTTATTTTGTTGTCATTTGTACATACTTTAAGAAATGTATTTATGTGAAAGTTTAAGAAAAATATTTTATTTATAGTAACCTATACCCATGCATGGGATGAAGTTTAATCATTTTTCAATAGAAGGAAAGTGACCATGCCCCCATCTTTGACCCTTACCTTGTAAGTTACTCTGAGATCAATCCAAAAATTTAAGAATGCGGGTTTTAACAGCTGTTTTCTTTTACACTCATACTCCAGGCAAACCCCCAAGTCCCAGTCTGCATTAAGTATGTTAAAATAGAACAAATTCAATGATGCCAGCAGTTTTTACTCATGCTATCATTTATAAATAAAAGGCTTAAATATTATATAAAAAAGATTTAGAAAGACATAATATATAGTATATAAATTTATAAATATAAATATGCATTATTTTGATATATATAGTACATATTTTATATATAATAGTATATAGTATACATCATTACATACTATATACCAAAGTATAATACGTACTATATGGAGAATATAAACTATACTGTATATACTTTAACAATATACTATATAAAACAAAATAGGATTTAATTGCTATTAATATCTAACAGTTATTCACTTTACATAATTTGCTATTAAGAAATTAGGTTGGTAACTAAGTTTCAAAATGATTTCTTAAATACCCAATTAAACACACTGAGTATTTCAGAAAGAAGAGTAAGGTGTCAAGTTACAAGGCCTACAAGGAGAAGGTTATCTGCTTTCAACATTCTAGAAAATACTAAGGTAACTGAGAAACCAGACATCTTATAGAAACCTAGAACCAAAAATGACTATTGATGGCACAGCATTGCTATCAATGACTTTTAATGGCCCCTTTTTTTCCTAGTATGAAAGTATAAAGCAAAGGATGTGAGTTGAATGAAGACTCTTTTTATTCAAGGTTATAGAAAGTAGCATAAAAGTTTTCACTAAATCATCTTTGCCTGCCAGAAGAACAGGGAGGTACAATCTAGTTAAGTCTTAAAAAATTTTAAAGTACCCCAGAATGGTAAAATTTGAAAAATATGAATAAAATTTACTTTCCTTGGTTAACATCTGTTTGGCACTGAGATTTCTTTTTGAGGTCTAAGAGGTTAACAAGTACAATTCTTACTATAGATAAAGAATTACATAGTGGTTATCCTACTCACTTATGATTGATAGATATAACTTATTTTTTACCTGACCAAGTAACAAATGCACATAATTTTACTTCGGAATTAGGCAGATCTGAAATCCCAGCAGCAAAAATAATTTTCTTCTGTTGCTGAATCTCCTGAATCCATTTACAGAACTGAGATAAGCAAATCCTCAGAGGGACTCCTTCATCAACTTGAGCCTGAGTAAAGTCACAAAATCTAAATTCAACAATCGAATTCTGTAATTATTGAACACATCATTAGCACATAATTAAGCACTATAGGGGGATGTAAAAAAGAAGAGGTTCCGGGCGCCTGGGTGGCTCAGTTGGTTAAGTGTCTGCCTTCGGCACAGGTCATAATCTCAGGATCGTGGGATCAAGTCTCATATCAGGTCCCTGCTCTGCAGGAAGTCTGCTTTTCCCTCTACCCCTCCCTATTCATTCTCTTTCGCGCGCAAATAAATAAAATCTTAAGGAAAAAAAAAAAAAAGAGGTTCTGACTGCCAGAGTTTATTTAGTGAAAAAGATGCTAAAACACACGGAAGAGAGATAATGATTAGAACTCCGCGAGATAAGAAAAATTAGGTTGCTCTACCTAAAATCACACAGAAATATAGTAATTAAATCCTGACTGACAGAAATTTGATGTCAATTAATTTCCGTAAGTTTGATATTCATTTTTACACCACTATTCTAATTTTTAAAAATTCCAACAGAGTTCTGGAGGGAACATTATTTCTAACAGTACATAAATCTAATTCCGAATGGTATATACTTTTTATTTTCATTTAAAAACTGATTTCTGAATTTTAATATTTGCATCATACTTTCTTGGTTTCTTTTGGGGGGGCAGGGTGAGAAGAGAGGTAGGGAAAAGAGAAGAGCATACCTGTTTTATGCCTGTCAGTTCCATGCAAAATTCAGAAAGAATTGGATGTTCTTGAGGCTGAACGTAAGCATGGAACTCAGATTCAATCTCTCCAGTTGATGTGTTCAGCAATACTGCTGGAAATTCAACTACATGAGAGAATCATCAATTGACACTTGAATACATAATTGTTAAATTAATGCTATAATCACTCTAAATTAAACATATTTTACCATCATATATCATTATTAGACAATCATTATTTCAGTAAAAGCATATTAAAATGACCAAAGCAGTGTGATATAAGTTATAATAAATTGTGCCAAAGAATAAGTCGGATTAAAGTTATGAGTGTATCTATTTAAAACTCTTGAATATATTTCCACAATTAAATATGAAGACCATATGTAAGTTAAAATGTACTCCTTTTTGCAAAGGTATTTTTTCAGTTCCTATGCAACTGAGATTTTGTATGGAATTCTAAAATAATTATTGTATATGATGATACTTTTAGATGTTAGATTTTTGTTCTTTTTTTGTCAAGTCAGGTTTTATAATAAACTTATCAACTCACAGGGCATCTTGTTTTCTTTAACTGTTGACTAGTTTATATCTATTAAAGTGACTCCTCTAGGGCTAGCTTTGACCACTGGCAGTCCAGACTTACTTATTTCTTGGCTCTGGCGGCGTTTCCCATCATTCCAACATGTTGACTCAAAATCAATGACAATTAAGTAGTCAAACAACTGCTCTGCAAAACAAAGGGTGTCCTTATGCTTTATCAGTGTTAAAAGTGCAAGGGATACAAAATGTAAAGAAATGAAGCACGCTACTTACTGGATTTGCTTCTTCCTAGATTTCCATTTGCTGGTACAACTGACTTTCTTCTAATTAATCCAAGCTGCCTAAAAATGTTAAACAACCCAATATGTTCAACAAACTCACACTCCTGTTTGAATATGCTAACAAACGAATGGTATAACCCTCATTATTAGTGTGAGTGACAGGAAATTGAACTAGACTTTGAGAGCAAAAGACCCTGGTTCTTATACTGACTGCTACCCTCTCTTTTAAGTCATTTCACCTGCATGAGCCTCAAAGGTCATATTTGCAAACTTAGACTAATTCTTTCTGCTTCCCTTATTTTACAGTAAATACTGAGGAACTTGAGTGATTGCAGAGGTAAAGATGCATTGAAAAGCTTATTTTTGCCTTTGCATTTTTCAAGCCCTTGCTATGTGCACAGCACGGTTCTGAGGAGATAGGGCAGATCCAGTCTTCCAGGAGCTCAAAATACAGCTGGGTAAATAAACTAGACATCCATGGTAAACTAGTGGAAGGTAATATATGACAAAGGATCCTCAAAGGCAATACTTGAGTTCACAGAAAGGTATGAGCTTACTGAGGTGTTAAGTAAGACAACTACTTCGAGGAACAGGTCGAGTTTAACTAAGCAGACACTTCCTGTTGTCGTTCTTTGTTTAAGACATGTGATGGGAAGTGCAAGGAGTTGGGAATAATTGCGAATATTTATTTGATTTCTTACTACACAGCAGGCACTGAACTCTGGTGATCTCACTTAATCCTCAACAACTGTACGAGGTAGTCACTTTTGCTATCTCTATTTTATGGATGAGAAAACGGATTCAGTAATTTGCCAAGGAGCACAGATTTGGTATGTGAACCCAGGTTCGTCCAACTCTGAAGCCCATGCTGTTTACTAACACATTACAGTACATTACAACAGTGCTTCTAGAAATCAGAAATGTGCACAGCATGACCAGGAATCAGGGAGAAGGCCACAATAAATCAAATTACGAATTAAACGGATCACTAGGAAGTGGTGGGGTGAACAGCTTGACGGGCGAGGTGGGAGCTGCCTGAGACCTCGGAACGGCCTTACCAGGCGCTGTCACGTCCATTCGTTTCCCGAGGCCTAGAATGGGCTGACAGTGGCTCAAGGCCACACAGTCCGGACCCCGGTTCTTCCAACCTCGCGCAGAGGGCGGCCTGAGGCTCGAGACCAAGATCCAAGAAGAGACCTTTCAGTCCGGGCCAGACAGTGCGGGTCGGAGACGCCGGGGCTGCAGAGAATGAAGGCTGACACCGCGGATGCCCACTGCCCAGACCTGCTGCAGACGCCAGCACCCGACCAGGAGCCACCCCTAGGCCAGAAACCCCTCGCGTACCGCGCAAGCTTCTTGGTCGCCATTCCCGGCACTCCTTACTCCTCCCAGCCTAACTGCCGGAAGTTGTTAAACCCCCCACTTCCGGTCCGTTCAAACGCCTGGCGCGTCTGGGGAGACGGTTGCGGCCGCGGCTCCGGCTGCGACTGAGGTGGCGGCGGTAGCGGCGGCTGCGGCTTGGCCTGTCTGCCGGCTCGTCTTCGGTGTTTTCGGGGCTTGGGGGCGCGGGGAGTGTTTTTTGGTGGGGAAGGCGCTTGGTAGCAACTTTTTCTCTCTTTTTCAACGGGCGGAGGCCCCTTTGTGCCGTTGGGGAACCGTTTCGAATTCGGCCTCCGGCGCGGACGGTAAAACCGTTGGTCTCGGTGCGGTTTTCTCCGCTGCAGAACAGGGAGGATAGTGGGCGCCCTCGCTTTTCCGGGAGGGTTGGGAGGGCTCCGTACACTGAATTGAGGATAGGATCTGAGGGAGCCTGTAGGCCGTCGAAGCCTCACCTGCTCCCCCGTCAGGAGGCGGCGAATCCTCAGCACTCGCCTGTCTTTCTTCACAGCCTCATGGATCCCGAGAGGGAGAGGACCGGGAGGCACCTCAAGAAGGGCAGGAAGAGGAGGCGGACCCGGAACACGCTGGTCGGGGCTGCTGAGGCGCGGAGAGCCCGTTGGAATCTGGAGGAGAGGCAGCCTGAGGCCAAGGTGAGTAACGGGGAGCCCGAATGGGCGGCCCGAGGAGGTTAAGAGCTGCGAAGCCCTCGCCCCAGCCGCCTTCTGCGCCCTGCCTGCCCTGGACGCTGCGGGTCAGCCTCATCCACCCACTGGCCTTTCGGAATCCCGCTTTCCAGTCTGTAAAATGGGAACGCTGATGATGGTTTTTTAAAACTGGTGTGGTGCCTTGGACCCAAAAAGAATGTTCACTCAACAGATAGTTTATTGAGTCTTCCGTGTGCCCTGAATTGTTCTAGGTTCCGGGAATATCCCAGTGCACGAACCCAAAATTCCTTGCCCTCATGCAGTTTACATGGCTCGCCAGTAGGGGAATAATAAGGCTGATGAGCATCCCTGCTGTGTATCGAGAACTAAATATACGTGGTCCATCCCTTCAGTCATCAGATTTCTGTTGTCTGCCATGTACTGGGCACTGCCCTAGGCACTGGGGGAACATCAGTGAATAAACAGAGGTGACTACTTCGTTCTAGTGGAAAGAGACCGAAGACAAACAATAGGTACAAATGATAACCAGGTTTCCCCCACTATTCCTCAGTTGTTCCAGTAATATCCTTTTTAGCAATAAGATCCAGTCTAGAACCGTGTGTTACATTTAGTTGTCGTGTCTCCTTCAATCCATACAATTCTTTAGTCTTTTCCTTGACATCTGTGGCCTTACTACTCTTGAAGAATCCTGAACCAGTTATTTTGTAGAATGTCTCTCATGTTAGATTTGTGTGTTTCCTCATCGATTAGTTTTGGGTTATACATGTTTGGCAGGAATATCACAGAAGTGAACTCTTTTCTCTTGTATTTTATTAGGTTGTACATAATTTTGATTTGTCCTATTGTTTTTCTCTAATTTTGTGGAGAGATGCTTCTTTATTAAACTTGTAATTCATTTTTTTATTAGTATGAACTCATTGCCTATTTCATTCAATGGGTTATAATCCATTACTATATTTTGATGCTCAAAGTATCCCATATTTGAGCATTAAGCTAGCTTCTGTGTTCTTTGGACCTCATAATTCTTGGAGCATTTCCCTATTTTTTTGGCACAAAAAGATGTTCCAGGCTCATCTGTGCTTGTCCTGCCCCAGCCCTGGAATCAGTAATTTTTTTCTTGATGCTTGGTTCTAAATGACATTTAGAAACTCAAGGTTCTGGGTACTAGATGTGCTTAGTGCTATCAGGATGTCAATACTCCCAAAAGAGCTAGGAAATATGTATTTATATATCTGTATACCCATATACACACATATACATGTTTACCTTTAAATATTTTTCTATCTATACATACTAAAATCTCTACTTGCAGTCTATTTCCACAAGGTTCATTCTTGCTTTCTCTCTTCATGTTTATAATTTCCTTCTCTATTCAGTGAGAAGCCTGATTTGTCATTATTTTCAGTATATTTAACCAGTTCCCCATGCTGCCACCACCCCACACACCCACACCCTCCTCACCTTGCTTGGGCTCTGTCACCCTGCACCATGTACCAGGCCACCCTCCTGTGTGAATGTCCCTGTCACTGCTGTGACAGGCTACTATCCTTATCCTTCATACATGGACACCCTCACCCTGTTCAGGCTCTGAATCTTGTGACAGGCCACTCTTGTCCTTCAATATTGATGCCCTCCTTACCTTAAATACTTTCTGATATCTGACACCGGCCCTCACTGCTCTCCACTTCCCAATGCATGGATGCCTTCATATCATTCAGGCTTTGACACCCCACAATGAGCCATCCTTCTGCATATATGCCCTCTCTAAGGGTATGTTCCTACCCTTAGTCTTAGCTCTCTCCCCTATAGCATGCCCTCCCCGCCCCCCCACTTAGGCTTTGACCTCCACTTGGCAACCATGTTTACTCACTGCCACATAGACCCTACCTACCTCACTCAGTGTCACCTTATCAGTCTTATATTTTTGATTGGTAAATATAAATTGGTATATTCTTTCAGGAGTTAAGTGTCAGATTAAATAGTTGACCCTTGAACAACATGGATTGGGGTGCCAAACCACCATCTACCCTCCTTGCCCTGTGCAGTCCAAAATCCTTGTATAACTTTTGACTCCCCCAAAACTTAACTACTTAAAGCCAGAAACCTTACCAATAACATTGGTAGTCAGTTGACCAGAAACCTTACTGATAACATAAACAGTTGGTTAATACATACTTTGTAAATTACATGTATTATATACTGTATTCTTACAATAAAGTAAGCCAGAGAAAATGTTACTAAGAAAAGCATAAAGAAGAGAATACATTTATGGTACTAAACTATATTTACCAGAAATGAACCACATATAAGTGGATCTGCACAGTTTAAACCGGTGTTGTTCAAGGGTCAACTGTAGGTGCTTATTTTGACCAGGAACTTACCCGGAGAATTTATCCAGGTACACGGGGATGTTTGAAAGGATGCTCATGACAATAAAAAAAAAAAAAAAAAAAAAGATGCTCATGATATTTATAATATAAAAAAAGTGTCATCAATAGGGAATTTTTTCATATATGTTGTAAGTGTTCAGATAAATTTAGAGAATGGACTACTAAAATTGGTATTTGATACATCTAACTGATACGGAAAGGTATTTACCGATTTTTGGGGAGAGGGAGGGTTGCAGAGTTGGTTACCAAATAGAACATATACTCTAATTCTTTAGGGGAAGTGTAGTACAGAGATGAAGAATTAGGGCTTTTTTTAGGAGGGAGAAGCTTTAGTGAACTCCCTGTTTCCCCAGAATAATGTCAGACTCCTTAGCTTAGAACACATTAACCTGTGACCTGACTCCCTCTTTGTTCTCAAATCTCCACTGCTCTGTAACATGCCATTTTGGTTCTAGCCTAACAAAATTACATGTTTAGACACAATGTTCCCCCCCATCTGACTGACAAATTATTTTCAAGACAGTTCCAGTATTTTCAGTATCAGTGAAGCTATCCCCCAAATTCTCTAACCCCCAAGGTAGTTAGCCTCTTTGCTCCTACACCTTTATAATAGCACTTACCCACATTGTATTGGAATTAGCTATTGCTACATTTTTTTTCCCTTAGTAGAATGAACTTGAGAGCATGAATCATGTTTTATTCATTTTACTATCCCTAGCAAGTAACCAAGTATCTGTAGTAAGGTTCTGTATCAATGTTTATTAAATATTGTATTAATAATGTCATATCACAGGTTGTTGTTTTAGATCTTCATTTCCAATTAATTAGATCCCTCCTTATATTTGCATATAATTTGCTTTGCTTTGTTCCTGTTCTCAGTAGTCCTAATTTTTTTTAAGATTTTTACCTATTTGAGAGAGAGAGAATGAGCGATGGGAGGGGCAGAGTGAGAAAGAGAAGCAGACTCTGCTGAGCAGGAAGCCTGACGTGGGGCTTGATCTCAAGACCCAGAGATCATGACCTGAACTGAAGGCAGACGCTTAACTGACTGAGCCACCCAGGCGCCCCTAGTTCTAATTTTTTTTTTTTAAGATTTATTTATTTATTTTAGGGAGAAAGCATGCAGGGGAGGGATAGAGGAAGAGGGAGAGGAGCAGACTCCTTGCTGAGTGGGGATCCCAACGCGGGGACTCAGTCCCAAGACCCTGAGATCATAACCTGAGTCAAAATCAGGAGTCGGATGCTTAACCTACTGAGCCACCCTGGCATCCCGGTAGTCTTAATTTTTAATGCCCTGATTTATCTTTGCAGAAAGCCCGCTTATCTACCGTTTTATTTGCTGAAAACTGTGAAGTAACCCACGATCAGTTATGTGAATTGCTGAAGTATGCAGTTCTGGGCAAATCCAGTGTTCCTAAACCCAGGTATGAGTTTAAGTACTTAAATGGTGAGTACAAACCTGAGGTTTCAAACTAGGGTCTAGAGGGCCATGTATTCCTTAATTAATACTATTTGTTTGCTGTACAGAATGTCCTAAATTTTTTTCTTTTTCTTTTTTTCTTTTAATGGTTGGGGAGGGGCAGAGGGGGAGGGAGAGAGAGAGAATCCCAAACAGGCTCCAAGCCCAGTGTGGAGCCCAATGTAGGGCTCAATCTCATGACCCCGAGATCAGGACCTGAGCCAAAATCAAGAGTCAGACGCCTAACCAACTGAGCCACCCAGGCGCCCCCTACATTTTTTCTTTATAGGAGTTGCCAACATTTAATTTGGGAATTCCTTTATTAAAATCCAGATACTTTATTTCTTCAAAAAATTCTAAGATGTGGCAGTTTTATCCCTGTATTCCCAAATGGCAACAATTTGTCACGGCTGAACAGTAGCCTTCCCCTTACAGATGGGGCATGTACACTTTAGTGTACCACCTACTGGTAAATAAGGCCTGCTTCCCTTATTTACGTTATCTGTCTGGCTGCTTTTTGGTTTGCAACCCTCTTGGGAGCTTCCTGGGTATAAACTGAAACCTGCCCCACTTACTTGGAGGGCAGAGAGAGACTGAAGAGGCAGGCTGTTCCAGGTTGGTAAGTGGCAATTTTAATAATAAGTGAAGGGAACTTAACATACAGGGCTTGTCTTGGGCAGGAGGATGACAAATTGATCCTTACACATGCCTGCCAAATCTTAAAAAAGTTTATATAGAGGGCTTAACTGGGTTCAGTCATATGAACCATGCAGGTGTTTTCAACACCACATCACTGTCTCAAGGCTATGTCCTTGGAGCAGCCTCTGGGATCAGGAAAGACAAGCAGAATCCACATTCAAAGGACAGAGGAGAAGGGGGTGAGGAGCCTTCAGGTGCCAGGGTCCAGCTGATAGGTTAGCTGGCAGTCATGTCTTTTCACTAACCTTTCCCGATACCGCTTAAAGGTATTTTGGTTTGTAACCCCTAGTGGAGACCCAATTGAAAATAACATGATCGTGTGTTAAGAATCCCAGTTAATCTTTTCTGTTCCTTTTACATTAAGGGACAAAAAGAATTATACTATTCTGATATTTTCAATGCCATTGTTAAATGTCTAATGAAAATTGCTTTTGTATATGTACCAATAAAAAATTTTTCAAAACTTTTTAATTTCTCAGACGTATCTATCTAAGGGAGATTGGCTAGATAACTCAAAAGCCATCTTCTGTATTAACAAATATTGCCAGTAGTCTGTCAATTTATCTAAAACTGGCTTTCTTAAAGCCAGTCATGTGATTACTAGCTTAGGAAGGACTCAGCAGCTTGGGATCTTGAGGATATGCCTTTGTAAAATGAGTTTATTTCCAATTTAAAACAAATCGTAATAGGATTTTGGATTTGAATGCATTGTTTTTCCCTTGGTATCCTACTTGATTTGAATGCAATAAACTATTATCTCAAGAGATCTTTAGTTGAATTCTGTATAGTAATAGCTGTTCTTTGCCAGGCAGTCATTGAGTCATGGTAAACTCCATTAACTGTTGCTCACTGCTTTTTTTCCGCCCTTCCCTTTTGTATATCTATAACTGACTTGATGGTATCACTTTTAGCTGTGTTGGTTTGATTTTTCAACAGCTGGTGCCAGCTTTTTCACCAAAACCATCTGAACAACGTGGTGGTTTTTGTACTGCAGGGAATGAGCCAGCTACACTTTTACAGGTTCTATTTGGAATTTGGATTTCTCCGAAAGGCATTCAGACACGTAAGTTAAGAAAACTCTAGCAGGGCCTGAGTTGAATCCTCTCATCCAAAGACTAGTTCATGTCTCAAACTATGCTCTTTGGCAACCTGATTGAACAAGCAGTAGAGGTTGTAGAAAGCAAGAAAGATTAAGATTCAGAGATCTCTTGTTGAGATTAGGTTTGCCTCTGATTTTCTTTGATAATTTAGGCAAAATATTTATTACCAGATTACAATCTATACGTAGTCCCCAGGCTGATATATCCTGTTTTATTCGGGTTATGGTGTTTTCAGAAATTACACACTTTACGTAAGTCTGTGTTTTTTGGCCTCTTGACAACATCACAAGATTGGACATCCTTAGAACAGTATCTGGAGCTGAATAGCGGCTGTCATCTTTAGAAGAGGCATGTGCTATTTTCCTTCCCATAGCCACCACCAGTCTTTATTGGACTGTTTCATCTGTTTACTGCTGAGGGATTTGAGTTGGTGAGTCCTAATCTCCTTGGGTCTCCGTTTTCCTTTTTGCTTTCATTTATCAAAGGCTACATATATGCTAGGACCTACATCAATCATTCTGCGTGCACCATCTTTAATTTTCACAGTAATTCTGTGAGAGATATAAATATCTTCTGTATGTGAGGAAACTGTAAGTAACTTGTCCAAATTATAGCTAGTAAGTGTTGGAGCTGGAATTTCAGCACAGGTGAGCCCAAGGCTGGAGCTTTCAACCTTTCAGCTTTGCTGTGTCATCTGTCCTAACTACTTGGCAAGCTGTCCACTAAAGTATAATAGATACAGAAGTGCTTTGGAAAAAGGGACTTTCCTTTTCTGAGTTACACATTTCTATAATGTTTGTCTTCGTTTCCAATGTGTAATCAGAACCAAAGAAAATATCTGAGCTGGGATAAAGGTGACTTCACTTACTTAGTCACTTTTTGTATTATTATTATTATTACCTAGTCACTTTTACACATTAAGGAAACAGTCCTCATTTTGCAATACAAACAATTAAGGTCCAGACCTTTCATAGCACTGAGCTGACAATAAAAGTGCAAGTCTTTGACAATATTTTAACTGCTTTCAAGCATTTTTATAAAAACTTATGTATTTTCAGAAATTCCGCTTGCCACCACCATCATCTAATTTCCTAGCTGATATCACTGGACTGCAAAAGAAACAAATAACGGGGGATCTATCCAAGATGGTGGAAGGTATGGCTGTGACTCTGGTTTGATGATTTGCTCATTCTAAAAGACGTTATGGATATGCTTATAAGTGGGTTTATCAGTCAAGTTTATTCTTGCAAACAACTAAGGTCAATTCTAACTACCTTAAACAGAAAAGCAGGTTTTTTTTTTGCCCTTTCTAAATTAGATTTGATTTTTAAGTAATTTTTTTATTTTTTTTTTTTTTTTTTTTTTTTTTTGAAGAAAAAAATGGATAAGTACCTCGGGAAAATAGAGAGCAGGAACCATAGCCTGTATTCATGCCCCAGAAACCATCTGGTTAGGTGAGATAGCATAGGCTATCCCTGCATATCACTTAACATTGGACTCTTATAAATTACTGTGAATAATTTTTAAACTGTCAGTGGGTCTTTGTACCCATGAGTGTACAGATGTGAAGGAAGATCTTGCCTTTGACTAATGTAAAGGACACCCTTAATACTACTCACAGTGGGGAATAGGCAGAGGTTAAGATGCTGGCCATCTAAAAGAGAAATATCCATGATGGCAATGTTTTTCAAACGATGGGTTGTGTCCATGAGTAAGTTGTAGTTAACCTTCTGTTTTTGTAGGGGGAAGCAGGTAAGTGATGGAATAGAAAAGAACTTGCTAGATAGAGTTCATTGGACATAGTAAGCCAAGTATTGTTCAGTGATGCCTTTTTGTGTGTGTTCAGAAATAATAGTTACACTGAGGAGACATGAAAAAGTGGTGAGGAGTAGCCAGTGATTCCTTCCTATCTCCTCTAGGACTGTGCTACCTACTATCCTGTCTTAAAGACCCCTGACTTCCTTCCTTTCCACTGTTCCCCTCTCCTTCTAATAGATGCCTGTATCTGACCTGCCTCTGTGTTTTATTTGACCTCCACTGTATTTTAAACATTTTTGAGTAAATAACAGAGTAGTCATTACTAGATTCAAAGCTCATATAAAGACATAGCATTGCAAAAGAAATCATCAGAAAAAAGAAATTTGATGTGGCTAAAAAATATGGATTGTTGGGGATAATTGGGGGAGGATGGTAGTGGTGAGAGACGAGGCTGAGAGGTAGGTTAAAGCTCTGTCCTACAGGCTGTAGATGTCATGCTAAGGGCTTTGGATTTTATTCTGTAGACTTTGAGGAGTCAGAGGATTATGGCTAGTTCTCTATCCTCTTAAGGATTTCACTTTGTTTCCCATCCTAAATATCAGAGTCCCAAAGCATAGTCTGTAACACTGATCTCCCCTCAATTCAGTCTTTCCTTCAAAATATTTATATATCTCCCCAAGTTGACCTATCACTCTTCTTTGGTTAACACCTGTATCTTTATCTCTAGGTCTGATGTCCCAGATTCCAGGCTTGCATTTTCAACTGCCTGCTGAATGTTGCCACTTGGATATTCCCCTGTCCCCTCAATCATAACATAGCTAAAAGCATTTTTCTCATCCTTAAATAACATAACAGGCTCCCATCTTCAAATCGCCTTTTCTGTTGGTATCAATTTTCTCTAAGACAATAGTTTTGAATTTTAGAATTACTTTTCTTTTGGCTCCCTGTACCCAGTCTGCATAGCTCATTCCCTTTGCTCCTATGAATATCTATTCATATGTCACTTTACCAGAGAGATCTTCCCTGATTATAAAATTTAGGACAGTAACTCTTCTCCTGCCCCAGTACACCCTCTCCTCTTTTCCCTCCTTTACTTTTCTCCGTGGTCCTTATTCCTTACCTGACATATTATATATTTATTTATTGTCCATCTTCCCAACTAGAATTTCAGTTCCATGGAGAATTTTGTTGACTTTGTTCATTGAGGAATCTCTAGTGGCTAGAACAATGCCCGGCATATAATAAGTACTTAGTAAATACTTGTGGACTGAATTGAGTTATTTTATCACTGTGTTCTATCGGTTTTTCTTGTGTACTGTTTCTTTCATATATCCCTTTTCCTCCATCCTTTCCACCATCTTGATTCAGACTCTATAATCTTTTATTTTTTTGTCCAGAATTTCTGCAAAACTTTTCCTCATTTCTCTCTCTCCATTTTCCACATTATCTTTGAGGTTGATCTTTCTTAAATACTTTTATGCCATTTCCCATCTTAGGAACTTTCTCTTGCTCTCCACTATTTATTGAATAATGGACTAAAGTCCAAACTCTTGAGTCTGGCATTTGCAGTGGTCTACAGTTCATTTTTATACTCCTCAACCTTGTTTCCTATACTGCTTTCCTACACAGACTTTTTTTTTTTTTTTTAATTCTCAGTTGGTCTAGTCATTACCATAACCAAGTTTGCTTTGTACATTTCTGTCTTACCTGGAATCCCCTCTTTTCTACTTACGGTATTTTGACTTCTTTAGTTGCAAGGACCAGATACTCATTCAGGCCATCTTAAGTGAGAGGGATATTATTAAAAGGATGCACGTAGACTAGAAACCTATCAGGAGTCTTAAGTGCCCTTTCATGGGCAGTCTCTGTATTTCCTAGTTTGATTTTGGAAGCAAGCAATCTGATCAGCTTAGCTAATTACCATTGTCCCTTGTGAGCATGTCTTGGCTAGGAATATCAACTTACTGGTCTACTTATCTTTGAGGTTGTAGATGGGTCTCTTTTCCTCAAAGATTTTATTTATTTATTTTAGAGAGAAAGAAAGAGAGCATGAGTGGGGGAGGAGCAGAGGTTGAGGGACAAGCAGACTCCATGCTAAGCACAGAGCCAGCACAGGGCTCGATCCCAGGACCCTGAGATCATGACCTGAGGCAAAATAAGAGACGCTCAACTGACAGCCACCCAGGCACCCATAGATGGGTCTCTCTTAAGCCAGGTTCCCACTCAATCCAATCGGTGACCATTCCTGCTTACAGAATAGGCTGATGCTTGAGCAAGTGGCTAGGGGTGGAATAGATTTAGCTAGAATGGGCTGTTAGGAGTGGCAGGCACTGTGATGGGCAGGTCTAAGACACCAACTATCTAAATTCTGCTTTTTCTTCAAGACTCAGCTGATCTTTTCCTCTATTGAACCATATCTCACCACCCCAGCCAGTGTATTTTTCTTCCTTTCCCTTTTATAGCTTTTATTATTACAACCCATTTGAGATTTATACTCTCTTTATGTTCCTATAACTGTATTACAGTACAGTCTCCTTAAAGTTGGGGCTGGGTCTTATACGTCTTTTGATCTTCACTGTGCTTACCTGACACAGGTTTAGAAATATGTCCTTTGAGTTTTCTTAAACACACATTCTTTTTTTTTTTTAAGATTTTATTTTAAGAGAGAGCACAAGCTGGATGGCGGGCAGGGGAATGTGGAGGAGCAGAGGGAGAGGGATAAGTAGGCTCCGTGCTGAGTGCAGAACCTAATCTGGGGCTTGATTCCACGACTCTGAGATAAAGACCTGAGCTGAAATCAAGTCGGACACTTAACCGACTGAGCCATCCAGGTGTCCCTTCTTTTTTTTTTTTTTAAAGATTTTATTTATTTATTCATGAGAGACAGAGAGAGAGAGGCAGAGGGAGAAGCAGGCTCCCAAGGAGCAGGGAGCCCG